TACTCGTCATTCAAGCGAATCCATTGAGAGGACGTATGTATGAATGTGTGCATGGTAAAGAGGGTGATCATTATACGTGTGTAAGCTTGAGCGAAGTTACACTTGTACGTTCTCCCCCAAAATACATTATAAAATAAGACTACAATGTAAATTAAAAAACCGAATAAAACGAAAGTAGACTATTGTGTTTCTGATCGAAGGGGGATAATGCACTAAAAAGAAGCAATGTTTTGTTTGACCGCACGACCGATAGCCATGCCGCGATAGGTCTACGGGTGCAGTGTGGAGTGTGGAGTGAAGTGCAATTAAAACCTTGGTTAACTGTGTGTATACTGTCGTATGTATGCACGATGGGCTCTCTCACTATAAAGCAGGTAGATCCATGATTTGGTCTTAATCATTATCATTTTAGGGACTGTATAAATTCCAAGTTTAGTTTGGTCTGTCAATAAAGTCAATTTTTTCCGAGCGATGACTGATGACTGGTTGTTGTGGAAGGCAGCCTGCTCGATCGTCCGCGGTCACGAACTTGACGAAGTGGAAACTTCACTGGCTTTTCTTTATTTCCCCCTGACCTAATAAATATAGGGAGGGGGGTTTCAGGGGGGCATGCCCCCCTGAATTTTACCATAATTTAATGTTTTGCAGTTGTTAGGTTTGATTTGATATCTTAGCTCACTGCGAATCAAACGTGTATAGATCTAGATCTAGATCTAGATCTAGATCTAGATCTAGATGTAGGTGTCAGGCTCAAATAAGGGGGGGTGGGAACTACCGAAAAAGCACCCTCTTCTTTGCATTCCCTTGCTGGGTCTCAGGACAGTCTAGAGATCTAGATCTAGATCTAGTTGACTGCTAGATCTAGATCTAGATCTAGGTCTAGGTGCTTCTGGAAGAACTTCTGTAATGAGCGATCACCCCAATAAACACAATAATAAAGTAGAGACGTAGATCTAACCATAACCCAAATCCGGCGATTGGTAAGATTCCCGCGTTTAATTCCGATGTGCGTTTTTCATACCCTCAGGCATATTTCGCTTTGGTCCCTAACCCTACGTTAGGGTTAGGGTTAGGGTTAGGGCCAGGGTTAGGGTAAGGGTTAAGGTTAGGGACCAAAGCGAAATATGCCTGAGGGTATGAAAAACGCACATCGGAATTAAACGCGGGAATCTTAACAATCGCCCCAAATCCAAGCCTTAACCCAAATCCTAACCCTAACCCTACCTTTTGATCTACCCCTGGCCCTACCCCTACCCCTACTCCTATAGTCCCTGGACCATAGTTCCGTTCATTAAAGTCAACCACCCTTTTGTTTACATCCAGAGAGAAATCCGGAAGTCTTGATGACTAAATTACTAAATAGTAGGGCTGGATTCTGCTCGGTTAATCGAAGGCTTGCAAAGCAGCGGACGGCTTGCGCTACAGGCTTGCGAGCAGGCTTGTGATTTGATTTGCCTCCCGCTTGCTACGGGAGGGAACTTCCGGTGAGTTGTGACTCGCGGACAGTCCTGCTGTACTGTGTCGTGACGTCGCGAACTCTCGTGGCTGTGGGCTCAGTACATATTACAGAAGATTCTCTGGTTATTTGCGTTGAGAGGCTTGCACCAAAAGTGCAAGATCGGGGTTTTTTTTCATAGTTCAGTTGTAAAAAACAAACAGCTCTATTCAATGCACTTAAAAATCAATATTGGATCGGCTATTCTTACGATGTTAAGGCCTGTTTATTTTTAATGTGCACGAGCCAAGCGCTTCATCGTCGCACGCAATTTGTAAAAGACCTCAGTTCGATTCCCGTATGGGGAGACATTTTTACTGAGAACCTTCGTCTTTCTGCTGGGGCCCTGACATTGGGTTGAAGTAGGCCTAGCCCGTCTCCTAAATGTTCTGTATTATGTCACTGTGAGTGTAACACATCTACAAAATAGGTTACATACATACGATACAAAAGCCAATCACAACGACCCCTGGAGTTTTCCATTTTAGGGTAATCTAAGTCAACTTATTCTTATTACTACCAGAAACCTAGGTCTCTATTACTACAATACCACGCTCCCTCTCACTTACCCATTCGCTTAGCTGATCAACGGCGGGAAGTTAAAAATAACTTCAGCTCTCTATGCCTTGCACCAAAACAAGCCCAGCCTCTCCCTTCCTCCACGGTTCAAAGTTCACACAGCGAGCAGTACTGCTGTTTGAACACATCGAGCGGTCTTGTCGCCATTGAGCGGTACTGCGGCGTGCCGCTCGCTCGGTGTATCGAGACAGTACAAGTCAGCAGGTCAGATTTAGAGCTTGTCCTGGGACAAATCTCTAGGCCTAGCGCAAAGCAGTACTGTGTGAATTGTGGGGCTTGTGGCTGCGGACGGGACTTGAGGCTTGCGCAGGCCTTCAACTAATCAAGTAAATTACAGCGCCATGCCGCGCAGTGACTCTGTGGGCGAGATCTCTCACTCTCCCCCTCTCTCTTTTTCTGACGTAAGTGGCTTCGCGGATTACAAGCAGGGTGGGGATGATGAGGGGGCCTGACACGAGTGGCTTTGCGGATTGCTAGTTGCTGTGGACTTGAAGTTTAGACTAGACCAAGGAGGTTACAGTTTGCACTAGACTCAACTTATCATGCTGGTGATTTGATTTGATGATTTGACCTAGTGATTTGAGGCTTGTGACTTGAACTAGGGGCTTGCGAGCATGAGTGGGTTTGCTACCGGGGTACAGCCCTACCAAATAGGCAACACAAAGAACAGGGATGCGACCTAACTGCAATTTTAACATCAAATGGTAAAATTCACACCCCTGCCCCCCTGAAACCTCCCTGCCCTTACTCTTGACTCTTGGGGCCCAAACCGGCGAATAATAATTGGGGGTGGGAACTGCCGAAAAAGGGCCATTCTTTTCTTGAACTTTGATTTCTCTTCCACGATTATCTGGCAATTCAGGATCTCTGGCGTTCAGCTTTGGACTTCAACGAACGAAACTACAAAATCGTCCCTAGGGCTACTACTACCCACATTTGACTAAACCTAGAATGACGCAAACTATTTTTAGGTAAGGCGGCCATCTTGTGTGACGTCAGACCGGGATACCCCTCCGATCACGTGACTTACATGATCTAAACATAGCCAACCGCAGGGCGATGTTTTTCCTGGAGACGTACCGGTTATGTGATATGATGCAGTGCTCCAATGATGCTGCTGCTTATCTCTTTTGCACATTATTTATCAGGCCCGGGAGGGGAGGGGGGGATCTCCAGACGTATTTACGGCAATTTTAGTGCACCTTCTTCTATCACCAGAGCATGGCTGACGCGCTGCAGGTAGCTGCAAATGTGAAATTTTATTGTGCGAAACGCATCGATATGGATAATAGGTCAAGCCACTGACCCAACATGTCGTTCCATGCGGTATCTCCAAAGATCGTGTAGTGTAGTAGAGAATCTTTGGTAACTTCTCAGCCTTATAAAAATAGTCTGTGGGTATCCCAGGAAGTGATGACATCACATTACTAAAATTAGCAGCCTATGAGGAAGATGCGTCATTCTATGTTTAGTCGCGTGTCTCCTACCCCTAGCCCTACTCTGTCTTCATAGTGGTTGCCTGTTACAGAAAAGTCCTCCAGTGCTTCTTTCGACATGCACACAGTGCAACCGATTTTTACATATATATCTGAACATGTGAACATTTTTCCTTCTTAGAGTAGACAAAAGTGGAGATGAAAGCAGATGACAGAACATGTCTTGAGAACAGGAAAGGATGTGAAGAGAGAAATTTTAAGGGAGGAAAACATTTTTCTGTTGCTGTCAGATTTCGAACTCAATTTCACCTTTTAAATGAGAAGGCAAACATTGTACAAAATTCTGACCATGAGAGCCCCCCCTGTTGAGGTTAAAAGTCAGACTTAAAATCAAAAGAAAATGGAAAATAAATGATAAGAGACTGGGGGGGCTCTCGCGGTCTATAAAAGCTCTTTCAATGGTGCAATAGGTTCAGGATTCGAAGTCAGACAGCAATTGAAAATTTTAATCTCTGAAATTTTCTCCTTTCTCCTCCTTTTCTGCACTCTAACCATGTTCTGTCATCTGCTATCGTCTCCACTTTCTGCTCCCCCCCCCCTCCTCCCCTTTGCTCTCTCCTCTGGGCTCCTGACTCTTTCTGAAGCCTTTCTACTGTTACTCCTTTTTGGCTCCTTCCCATTTTACTGCTGTCTTTCAGCCACACCCCCATCTTTTATGATCTAACACCTAGCCTTCTCGGATAAGGGCGAAAAATCTGGGTGGTCCCTTGTGCAAGTTGCGCACGTTAAACTTAAAGATCCCTTGGTGGTCCGAAATCGATTAGAGTAGGCTCGGTAAAATTCAAAACTGATTCCTACCAAACTAAAAATGTTTAATAATCAGCAGCTCATATATGACCTTGTTCAGTTGTGAATGCTGTAAAAGACTTAACAAAACCAACGAATAAGAATGTTTTTGTTTTGTCATTTTAGAACAGTGCTCCTTGAACTACAAACTGATTTGTGTTGTGCAAGCTGTATACTTGGATGTTATCAAGCACTCTATATATATGAACATCAAAATGTCCACAGGACCCCTACCCACTCTCTTGCTCTCTCTCTCTCTCTCTCTCTCTCTCTCTCTCTCTCTCTCTCTCTCTTTCCTTGTCTCTACAATCCCCCCCAACCCCTACATCCTGTTCCCTTGCTCTCTCGCATATACACACATTTAATAACTATGCAAATGAACACTCATCCCCTATTCCACCCCACAATCAATCAATCTTCTTACTATTTCTCTTTCACCCTTCCAGGCTATACATCAAATGCGAAAGGGTTTATTGTCAGTGGAGGAACTGTGCAAAAAATGTCAAGATATTCTAAAGAAGACACGAGTGCTGAACATGTATGTCAACGAAACAGACCCTGAGCAGCTCTCTAAAAACCTACAAGCTTCATCTCAGGCATATGCTCAAGGTATTTAAAACATAGATATATCTGAATAGTAGTTTGATCAGGAAATGGGAAATTGATCATGGTCGTAAAATTCATCTATAGAGTTTTACAAGTTCAAATTCTATCATGGACTGTGTCAAGGTCTCTAGGATTTAGACTTGAAAAGGTTGATAATTAATTTCAACAGACTGATTAAAAAAAATATGAGACTGACATCAAATAATAAGTCGTACAATATTCATTAGGGAACCCTATTCATTATTACTCATGTAAAATGCTTTGACAGTAGAGAAGCCTACTTTCAAGTTTATCAATCTCTGTAAGTGATAAATTAAAAGTGTTTGATCTTCTTTCTTCATTCTGGTTTGTACCGGTGACGATTAAGACATTTTGTACTCTTTTTGTAAAAATTGAAGTTTCCTTTTTTTAAAGTGTATTCAAGTTTAAGCGATGGTGAGGGAGGTGAGATTTGTGATCTATAATATAACCTCTTCTCTTTGTAATGAGTTTGATGTACAGCATTGATAATAGTATTAGATGCATGTTACACCTACCTTAGAAAGCATATTATGTTTTAAAGGTTTTATTTTTGGTTTGGCCTCAACTGACATTTCCCAAATGAGATCTAATTTATAAAAATCTTCTCTATATGCAGAAGCTGCAAAATGTCTTGAGGGTATCCCAGTCTCTTTCAAGGATGCTTTTTGCACGAGTGATATGCCCACAACTTGTGGGTCAAAGATGCTTTTGAATTATACACCTCCTTATGATGCGACTATGGTCACGCGAACTCAGGAAAATGGAGCCATTGTCATAGGCAAGACAAATATGGATGAGTTCGCCATGGGGTAATGTTGTTGCTTTGTAAGGAAAAAGTTATGTTAGTTAACATTATGTGTCACGATACGGTGGTATCAGGCGCTCATCAATTTTGGGGCATATGGAGTTATGGGTATCATATGAAAGAATATTTCTTTGCCTGCTTATTTGCCTGACGAAAAATGCCCATCTGTCTTGACTAGAAATTCAGATATAATTTGTGATTGAAGGAGGCAGAGGTTGCCTGGTGTCAGAGGTAAGATTAGCGAGAAAATGGCCGCCAAAGTTTGGTGACTACCAAAGCTGTAGTGTCCTCGAAAACTGTAAATTTACCTTTTTTTGTGCTTTTGTTAACATTTTCCAATAAAATCCACACAGACATGTTTTTGAAAAAAGGCACAAAAGATGTTGAGGCAAAAAAAAAATCAAAATTCAATAAAATTTGACCATCGGACAGAAAAGTCTTGGTTTTCCACAATTTACTTTTTTTGACATTGGCCTGATTTCACCACGATGCCAAACACATATATATATATGCTTTGATGTAAAACACGTGTACATGTCAGTACCTGTCTTAAGCTAAATTGAATAGGTTTTTTGGAAATGGCATTTCGCAGTTAGCATATGATAAATTCTTTAAGGTTAGTGTGTACGTGTATTTGCAGTAGATCAATGTATGGTTTTAAGAAATTCTTCATTGCATTGGGATGCATAGGGCTTTATTCTGTTGGTTACAGTATTTGAAAGTGTACCTTTATTTGTATTGCAATCTTTTTGCAGAGAACAGAAATTACCTTTGAAATTTGTTATTTTATTATGCTGATTTATTTCAATCACATTACTCGAAGAAGTCAGTAAGTTTTAGCTAGATCGAACACAAAGGGATCAAACTCTTTAAAAAATTTTGGTGTGGACAGCTATATTGAGGCATGCCCAACACACCATCGGCAGTTAAAGTCTATTTTAGGACAAGATTAGACTGCTGACTGTTTAGTATTCAATCTCACCTATCTCATAGCAAACACAAAGGCCTTTGATGTTCTTCTCTTCATCAAAGACATGCTGTTGTAATGGGTGCCTCACTTTCTCTCTCATCACGGAGCAGTTCTGGTAGTTTGGACGGCTGCCACGGCCCGGTGATGAATCCATGGAACTTTGCCGTCCTCCCAGCCGCTGACAGACATGTGCAAGGGGCTAACAATGTATCTGAAGACACTCTTTCAGTGGAGCCTGGAGACTGGTTCATTAGTGGTGGAAGCTCTGGAGGCTCTGCGGCTGCTGTAGCCAGTGGCTCGTGTTTAGCGTAAGTTTTCCGTGTGGGGTTCAATTGTTAAATTGTTTTTTCTTTTTTTTAAAAATGGTTTTACACCCCCATTGACACAATTTAGCTCTTTTAGGAGACAGGCAACCTACCATGACTGTCAGGCCCAGGCTGAGAGGGATACATCCCAGCCGAAAGACTGAGATACTCTATAAGAATTTTTTCCTCATTCGAGAATCAGACTTGGGTCTCCTGCATGTAACACTAAGTGCGTAACCACTACACTGCAGACGCTGGTTGTTTCATTTGTACGGTAATAGTTTTTGTTAGAAAAAAGACAGATGTATCTTTTTAAAAATTTGACTTTTAGTAAACCTTTAAGACGGTGGCTTTTATGTGAATGAGCTCAAGTTTTGGGGTTTTTTTTTTTTTTTTGTTTATTGTTTTCTTTTGTTTTATTAAAAGGCATGAACATGAAATTTAGAATGTCAATTTGCTTTGTCAATTACTTATTGCATGTGGTCAGCAGCTGAAATGTGACCGGCAGATACATAAATTATATGTATATCTAGAAAAAGAGAACTATTATTCTAACCCCCAATGAAGTGTTCTTGAACTTAATTAGTTTGGGGAGGTCTTAAGACTCTCCACCTGCTTGGCTCAGTTTTAGAGGAGGTGAAAGTTGAATTTGGAGGTCCTGCCTTTTTTAATGACTTTAGAACGTTGAAAGGGGCATGCCATACCATGAAAACCACAGACAGCAACACAATTATGCTTAAATCTTCTAGGGTACTTTTCACGAGTTCTACATTTAGGGGAGGTAACAAGCAATAAAAGATTGTCCTTTCTTTCATGAGTTTCACCCAGTGACGTGCTACTACTCTTATATATAGTAGTAGTACGTCACTGGTTTCACCCTTTCTCAGAACAATTGTGTTTCTGTTTTTAATTATTTACAACTTTCACGAGTTATACTTTTTGCAAGTGAATCATCTTTGAGAAAAATTGCATATTTATAATGTAAACCCCTCCTTTAGAGTGTCTGTTCCAACACTATTCTGGTTAAAGGGGGATTCTCTCACATTTCTCTACATATTTTTTTTGGTTTGTTTTCCAGTCTCTCCTATGCCTCAAAATTTCCCCCCCATCATCATTGCCAGGTGTTTGTATATAAAACAAACTTACACATATTAAAAAAGATAGATATGTAGTATTTTTTCCTTTAACTTTAAAGCATTTGTTTCGTTGGGAGTGTATAACTTTTTGATCAGTTTCCTCTTGGTGCACTGAAGTGATCTGTAGATTTAACCCTATCCGTACGTCTTGTTTTACTATCGTATCCATACGATGTGGGGAACTCTGTGCACCCACTTTCCAAAGAGGAAATTTACTCGTTAATCGAATCGGTACGCTTTGCATAGCAGTCTGTCAAAATGATTTTTATTGAGAAATTTTGAAAGTTTCAAAGAGATCTTCGCACTAGAAGTATATTTGTAAAATGTGAAGAATACAACCCCTGGGGTACAAAATGACCCAAGGCGTATGGATAGGGTTAATTGATTTACTCACAGGAATTAATTGTAGCTATCTCCAATGGATGAGACACTGTTATCTTATTAAGTTTGAATAACAATAAATAATTGAATTCTTTCGGCTGAACATCTACATTTTCCTTCATTACTTCATTCATGTGCAATGTTGTTAAATTTAAGGTAGCAATTTTTAGAAGGTGATCTATTTTTGACAATTTTATCGAGCTAAGAAAACATTGATATTTTTCTCTTTTTTCTTGATTTTCTGTAGCTCATTTGGTTCTGATACCGGTGGCTCAACAAGACTTCCAGCTAGTTTTTGTGGAGTGGTTGGGCTCAAACCCACATATGGTCTCTTGTCTCGGCATGGACTCATTCCCTTGGTGAATTCTATGGATGCGCCAGGCATAATCACGAAGACAGTAGAAGATTGCTCTATTGTGCTTAGTACGTTTTATGTCACTTGCCGTGTCTGACTATGTTTTTAGAATGTTCATATATCTGTCTTTGAAATTGAGTGAACTCAATTATTGAATAATCGTAGAATGTTTTGGGTTTTATTCTAAAGCAATTTTTAGAGATGACTTACCAATTGGCTGCTGGACGGACGTTGCGCAGCATTTTAAATTACTAGTCGCAGAATGCACACCAGTGAAACATTCTTGAATTCTTACTGAAGCGTTCTTGCACTTGCATTGTTTCTGGAGTTTTCTAGACTCTGCATATTTGGCTGGGTCCAGCAGGAGATGGATGAGAAGTCCTGTTTTCTTTATTAAATTGTCAAATTTGAACGCGGTTTTAAAGCCATAAATTTCCAATTTTGGTTTTTTTTCATTCAAAATAGTTTGGTAGCCTCATGGCATTCTTACACCACAGAATTTGACTGGTGAACAGATTTGCTGAGTGTCTTCTTGGCATGTTCCCCCTCATACTGCAGCATGTTCCAGTACAGCGCAATGCTAGTTATAGTGTGCCATGTTGTTCTCTTGTGCAGATGTGTGTAAATCTTATTATCAAACTGAAAAATTGAATTTTCTGCTTTCATGATCCTGTTGTTCTTTTCCAGATGCTGTGGCTGGCCATGATGTAATGGACTCAACAACAGTAGTGGAATCTTATAAACCTTTTGAAATTCAAGAGGATATTGATCTGTCAAAATTACATATAGGAATACCGAAGGTTTGTGAAAAAAGCCCTCAAAATACTTCTTGTTTTGATAGTTGCTATCATCATGGATCTATGTTTGTGATATAACTACAGTGGAATCCTGTTATAACGAGAGGGAGGGGACCGGCGCCAAATGTCCGTTATAGCAAGATTCTCGTTATAAGGGATCCAGTAATAAATTGAAGAGAAATAGTAAAGTAGGCCTAATCTATGAGTCTGGTTTTCGGGGGGGGGTTTGTAATCTCCCCTGATGATGATTTGGTTTAACATGACCTTTAAGTCTTACTTGATCAAAAGTCGAATCTTGTTTCTTTCTCTAGCGCTAGCAATGTTAACAGCTCGGCGTTGGCAATCAGGAAGAAAGTTCTCTAGGCCAACTCGCACTGTGTTGTCCCGCACCCTACCACACCCTGTGGTACGTTATGTCTGCTTGCGCACAACGGGAACATAGATCTGCCACACTCCGCCCACGTCACACATTCGCTCCGTCCTCAGCATTGTGACCTCTGCATCCCCGCTTCGGAGAAGTGAGAGGCATGGCAGGCTTTGATAATCTAGACTAGGCTGGCCTATCAAGCGATGCGTTCTGCTTGTCTGTGCATGCCACACTCTCCCCGCTCATTCGATCCGGCCTTCATTGTTGGCACACGTGGGCTCTCCCATTCTTTGCTTCGCAAGAAAGCCAACAAATTTCTCAACTGGAGAAGTTTTACATATATGAATAAATGGCCTATGCGCTGTGCACAGCAGCAGCTATATTCTGCTATAACCGACCTGCTTGTTTGTCTGATTGCGGTATAACAGTATTTTTTTTATAAAGATAAAGAAGGGAAAAAAACGGGGTTTTAGAATGGTGTCTTCATAACAGACTTCTCGTTATTTCAGGACTTATAAGTGGATTCCACTGTAATAAGCAAGCACCCTACTTTATGTGAGCAGAATGGCAGTTAGTTAACAGAGACACAAGGGGTACTGTAGAATGCAAGTAAAAAGGTCCATCTGATGTCAATTTGAAATGTAGCCTAACTTGTGTAATGCTTGTTTAATTAAGGAAGCACTCTTTAAGCCACAACATCACCACACACACTTTCTAGCTGTAATAAATACCGGAACAAGTATTTTATTCTCACGATGAGTCTATTATGGCTTTTTCCCTCTCTCCCAGGAGTACCATGGCCCAGGCCTGTCGGGGGAGGTTCTGAGGCTGTGGCAAGATACGGCGGATAACCTTGAGAAGGCGGGAGCTCGTGTCACTCAAGTCTCCATGCCCCACACACAGCTCTGCATCACATGCTACCACGTGCTCTGTTGCTGTGAAGTTGCTTCCAACATGGCCCGCTATGATGGCATTGAATTTGGTAATCCTCCTCCGTCTTTTGGTTTCAGTCCATATGTTACATTATCGATTCAGCTGTGCGTGGGCTCTCATCCTTTGGTCTGGTGTCATATAACAGTATTTTTTATTTAAATTCAGCCATGCACAGATGTAGACGTGCAAAATTTGAATTCACAGATAGCTTGTACTCTATGGCGTTCCCGGACAGAACCACTATATTTTTGCTGTATTGGCAACACTGTTTTCTTAACAAAAACCTGTATAGATTTGTCAGACAGCTTGTCTTGAAAAACCTGCTCAAATTGCTCCTTACTCATTGTCTCAAATTCAAATTGCCCTGCGTGCACGATGGAAAACAATACACCCATCATTATTGGGAAGTATCAAGTTATGGGAGCACACTAGATTTGCCCCTGCACAGCGTGTTATATACACACTCTGATGATTGTGAGACATATCACCACACATTACCTGTATGCTATTGTGCAAAAGACAGTAGACTTCTTTGAATCTCGCTATGTGAGGGTTGGTGCTGGGTTTGTGGATGTAATTGAAGACGGACAGTGTGGCGCTGCATTGGGCTGTATTGTGTGTGAATTATGTTTGTGCTTGTTTCATGTGTACGTGTGTGTGTGTTTTATGTGTGTGTGTGTGTGTGTGCATGTCTTGTTGTTTGAATGTGAAGGCATGGATCGGGAAGTGATTACACAGATTACACAAGAGGAGTGGATGATGCACTTTGACTGACTATCAAACACTGGTTACATCGTCATGATTGTGATCTGATGTAAGAGCAATTTTATTTTTGTCTATAAGAAGGATCATGACCTACACTTTCTTCCTTTCTCTATCTTTGACACCAAACAAGGCACATATACTACCCATCTTTCTGTCCTTTTATCAATACTTGCTACTTTTCAAGATGGCAGAAAAGAAATACTTTGACTGTTTGACAACAGAAACAATTAAGGCGCCAGATTTTAGCAGACGTTTACAAGAAGTCCAGCTTTAAATCAGAAATTTGTAAAGGATTTGGTATCCCCAATTCAATGCTTTCCACATAAATTGTAAAAATCGAGATAAAAATTTCATCAAATTGAACACACCTGCATTGGATGCCAACCTGACAGAAAAATGAGTGTACTTTGCCAAATTTGAGAACATCGAGCTGGCTTTGTATCAGTGGTTCTAGCAAACATGTGTTTTGTCTCTTCCTATCTCTGGTGCCATAAGCAGACAAAATCCAAAGAGGCTTGATCTTGATTTCACACACAACACCAAATGTTTGGACAGGTTGAAAGAGGGACACACAGCATCACTCAAAAAGCTGTGTGTGGTAAATCTACTACAGAGAATCGGTTGCACTGATTTATTTTCCCACCTCTGTGTCACAATTTCTTCCCTTTATTTTCTTCAATATATTCTCTATAATTTTTGTTTTATCTGTTTACCAGAATGTTATTCTATGGATGCATTCAATACATTTGTCAATCCCTGACATATTTGAGTTATTATTCGTTTCAGACTGAACTAAATTTCTATACCACTTATATTGATTCTCGGGGACAGTTTCCTTCCTGGTCTCAACTGAAATACATCGACTGGAAGTGCGGTAATGGCATCCAACTTTATCTTTTAGGGAACAAGTTTGGGACTTTTGATATTATAAATGATTTTTTTGATATTTTCATGTCATAATCTAGAGTGGATAAGTTTTCATCTTTTGGCCTCCTTTTGGGCATGGAGATTGAATGGAATGGTAGGCTCTTGCACGAGAGAAGAGACAGGCTTTCAAGAAAGACTCATGCACAGTATTTGCTATGTATGTTTACCTCAGAAATTGTAAACTTTTTTCAGGTCTGAGGGAAGGTAGTGAAGAATCTACTGAGGAGCTCTATGCAGCTAGTAGACACCAAGGCTTTAATGATGTTGTGAGGAGCCGGATTCTTGCTGGAAATTTCTTTCTCCTTAAAAGGTAATAATCTGTGGAATACAGAAATGGATTTGTTCTAGAAACTTAGTATATATGTGCTCTGGATGTATTCTTGAAGCATTGCATGAGTTATGGAAGCTTTACATGATATGTTACGGACATGGTCTAAAAGCTGTAATGTAGGCTCCTGTGGGTTCATTAGAATGCAAACTTGATCTATCATGCAGAAGTTGATGGTCTCTATCCAAAAGGAATTCTGTTGGTTTCTATTGTCATTGTCCATCCTGGAATGTTTCCTCTGAGCATGATGTACTGATCAGAGGTCAAGTGCTCTACTTTTAAAATGATGTTGTGTGGTGAAAATTGTGAAAAATTCAACTAATATAATAGCTACAGGATGTTATTGAGAGAGAAGAGTAGACGACTTGGGCTTTTTTTAGAAAAAAAAGTTTATTTGTTTTATTACAACCCTCTATCACTTGAACTTTAAGTTGAAGCTGAGTATTTTGATTTTGTTTTCTGTTGGTTATTCTCCAGGAACTATGAGAAATTCTTCTTGAAGGCTCAGCGAGTGAGAAGACTCATCAGCAACGACTTCAAGAATGTTTTCCGCTCTGGTGTGGATGTCCTCTTAACTCCCATCTCCCTCACAGATGCCCCGCGGTACAGATGGTTTGCCAATCAGGATAACCACACGCGGTGTGAAGAACAAGATGTCCTTTCCACTCCAGCAAACATGGCAGGTAGGCTGATGTGAAAGTGAGCGTTGAGACACCAGAAACAACCCTTTTTTTTATAGTAACACTTTAAGATCATGTTTCTTAAGTTTACTGAATCCTTTTGAAGTGTTTACGACCGTTTACAGAACATTGGCTAGTAGGTTCTACTTCTCTTTTGGGCACGACAGGATAAAAATCGCCCAGAAGTTGGAACATTACGGATTTTTCTGTTCCCTTAAATTTGACAAGCCCTTGATTCCACCATGATGACCCACTTTTATTATGATTACTCGCCGACTCTGGGATTCCTATCTATGTCAGGCTACCGGACTCATAATCGTGAGGTTGGGAGTTAGAGCCTCAGACCGGTCTTTCTGTCTTGGGAAAGGCAATTTACTTTACACAGATTTTCCTCACTTTACCCAGGTGTGAATATGTACCCGTCCATGACAGCGAAAGATCTTGTCAGTATGATAGTGTTTAGCGCCTGTAAATGGCCGTTTGCACTGTATGCTTCCCAGGAAGTTGAGATTGTTTCAGAATGTTATCAGGTTGGCTAGGATAATAATATTAGGTAGCGTAAACACGGCCTCGCGGGCACTCGCGGCCTTCCGACCGCGTGGTATCGGTAAAATCGGGGTAATTCCGATCGCTGTTTCTTTGCTCTTTCGCTATAAAACACCAAGTGCCGTACACCTTGTAAAAGTTCAGCTTTTCCTCGTTACAATGGTGTAAGTTATTTATATGTCCGATAATTAGGAGCTGGAGAATCACCGACGAGAGTGAAGCCCCTCGCGGTCGGAATGCGTGGTCGGCCGGTTGAAAAATTGACACGCGTGCATTCAAATGCTTCGCGGAACGAGGGATGATTAAATACCGTCTTTTCATTGGCGGAGAACTGTAGAGCTTTAAACGGGCTTTCCCGTGATATAAGTTTAGCCTTTGGCGTCTTTATAGAAAGCTTTTAAAAATACCGTCAAAATGTTTAAAGATCCTTTTTTACACAAAATATGTATAATATCGACTTAACTCACTTCAGACGGGTCACACAACAGTTGCGTGACCCCTGCCGCGACGCTCGCGACGGGTCTCACAAGCCCTGCGTGACCAACTTTGGAATTTTTTTTCCGCTCTACAAATCACGCACGGATCACGAGACCCGCCTCGTACCCTTGTTTGGCCAAGCCTGAGCTACTTAGACTTCGTTTCGTATCTCTGGGGCCGGTAGTTTTTAAGTTATTGAAGGTGAGGGACAGTGACCCCAACTGGGGTTGAACAGACCGGAACTCGCGCTTTGTTTTTTTCGATACAGCTCATAGCAATCCCTCAGTCGCGTCGTAGTAACGGTCGAAGAAGTCGCATGAACATGAATCACATAATTTCGCCGTTTTCTATACTTCTGTGCGTTTTACTAGTTCTAGTGTCTCAGAATATGATAAGTTTAATAGTTAGGATCCTGGATATGTACCCGAACACGGCCCGAGTCGTAGTTCTAGGGCTAGATCTAGCACTAGTACCAGTGTTGTTTTTCGCGCAACGAAATCACAACGTCGTGCCGTACATCTGTCTCATGTAATTCAGTGTATGGGTCTGAATCAATGCACAGACCAGCTTTTATATTTTCACCAAACACTCGCACATGTATACAAATCAAACCAGAACACTTTGAACTTTTATTTTTGTTGTTGCAGTGAATTTCATTCTACTTGTCACGTCTCTGGAAATTTTTTGGAAAATCAAATTCATGCCAATTTTTAAAAAATCATAAAAATTAAAAGTATTAGACTTAGACAATTTTAGTTTTTTGTATTAAATTAAGCTTGAATGTTACTTTACTGTGTCAAAAAATGATTACAATAGGGTAATTCTGAGAGTTGTGGTGATTTATTGAAATACCCCCCAAAAATGCCAGTCTTCAATGCTTGTGACTGGTGAAAGGGCCCAGTCGCAAGTGAGTTATAACAGGTATCAATTAAAAGATCAGTTCATTTTCTATTAGAATAAAGTTATTGACTTGTAATTGTTTTTCATCAATCCTTCCGCGAGACCCGGAAAGCATGTGACCCCCCGCACGCGGGGTACACTACAGTATAGAGCCGACTCGCTCGCCGCGGGGCCCGGTGCTGCGCCGCCGGGTCAGCACTCGGTGTTTTTGTCGAAATAACGACAGATCATCGTGTTTGAGGCGATACAATACTGATTTGTAATGATCTCACAGTCTTGAAAAAAATTAGGCTCCATAAATTTGTTCTAGTGATTGTACTCTGTTAATGTGGAGATGTTTAGTGCGCTTGGTACTCTTTTATTGTCTGTCAAACATGGGGTTGCAGCCTGTGACTGACTTCAACAAATTTGATCAAATTTTAAACAACTACAATTTTCTTAAAAATTGACGGAGAGGTTAAAGAATGGTACCAAAATGCTCAGTGGATATAGGCCTTTCAAACGGAACAGATAAATTTGGCATACAGCTAGTTTGAAAATTTAGTTTCTGGTACCTAATAATTTTGTAAAGTGCATAGAGCTTGCTGTTGAGAGGGAATTTGTACCATACAAACAAATGCTGTCTATTATTTTTATTTTTATCATTATTATGTTCATTTGGTTTATCATAAGTTATGGTACCTCCACAGGTGTGCCGGCCATCAGCATCCCACTAAGCCTGTCCTCCCAAGGTCTGCCTCTAAGCCTACAGCTGATTGGGCCACACTTCAGCGAGTCCTCCTTGCTCACAGTTGCAGGCTGGCTTGAGAGAGAGGCCCAGTTCCCGTATCTAAACTTGGATGCGTTAGGACTCAATGAAGAAGCTTTGAGGAGATGAGAATGTCCTTCATTTTAGATTTAATTAGGTTTTCCTTTACCACACACAGTGACACTTCATGTCTTTCAACAGTGCAATGGAACTGCTTCAAACAATGGGGAAAAAATTCAATACTATGTTTAGAATATGTTTTACATACGATACGGTACCAGGAATAAAGCTGTGTTATGATTTCAAGTAGTGACAGAGCGTTTTAATTTTAAGTAAATTAGTGGCATGACAAGAACGTTTTGGAACAGCTTCAGCTGACAGTGTATATTTGACTGGCTGTTATAGTATGTAAGTTATATACAGAGTTTTGCTGATCCCTCAATGAAGCTGCGGGACACACTGAAGAAAGCAGAAAGCCGAGAGGAAAGGAGGAAATTTATTGTCATCTTCTGTCAGAGGCGACCCAACGGATGACAAATCTATGGGAGAAGAAAAAATGAGATTGTGTGATGTGGCGGAAACTCATTCCTGTTTGGTAAAATATACGTTTTTATACATTTGGTTTCTCCATCTAGTCAGTTTGTAGTTTGTGTTGGTTTTACTGACTACTTATACTGATTGTTTTGTAGGCCTACAATCACAAAACGTGACATATGCCACATTGTGTTGTATATGACATGGTTGTTGTTCTCTTCTTTCATTTCTCCTATGTTGATGAATGCACTTTGGTATTGATGTCAGTGCCTTAGTGTGAAGATGGTCAAGCACATTGTTCCATTGTCTTCCTGTAGGTGGGGTGGCGAGACTTGTTACGGGAATAAATGATTAAATGAAAAATAGGCATTGGGTGCGCTAGATCTACTTTTTTTTGTTGTAAGTGTTTTACAACGCTCGCAACTGCATAAAGTCAAATGAGGGCGCAGGACACACCAAACATTTTCAGTTGGTAAGAAATTTTGAATTTTGCCTGGGTGGCAGCCGAAGCCTACTCTCATCGATTTTAAACCACCAACTTCAAGTTCAAGGGATCTTTAACATGCGCGACTTGCTCCCGTGCCCTCTGAGATTTTTCGTCCTTGTCCGAGAAGGCTAGGTGTAGATCTTTCGTACCAGAAGATCAGAGGTGTGGCTGAAAGATAGCAGTAAGAAGGAGCCAAGGAGCAGCAGTAGAAAGGCTGCAGAAATAGTCTGGAGCCCAGAGGAGGGGGCAAAGGAGGTGAGGGGGTGGGGGCAGAAAGTGGAGACGAAAGAAAACAGAACATTGCAGGTCGGGAAAGGAGACAATTTTAGAGAAGAACATTTTTCGGTCGCTACCCGGATTTGAACCCGGGACCTTTGAATGAGAGGCCAAAACCTTAACATCTAGACCACGAGAGCCCCCTAGATCTACTGATCTACCCAAGATCTATAAATATTGATTATGAATACTTGTAAAGCACAGTATAGAGCATGCTAATAGATTCTGAAGAACAAGGTGTTATAATAAGTTATTATTATTAATATTATATGCATCTCAAATTATGTTTGGTCAACCTCCATGAAACTAAGATACAACAAGAAAAAAAAGAAGATACAGATGAGGAGAAAAAATGTCACCAAGAAAGAAGGTAGCTCTTATCATCGGAACGTTGATCAGTTGTCGGGAAAACAAAACCTGTGATGTCACGATGTGTGTATTGTGTCTTTACTATTCCATGCCCGGACCGCTCGACTTGTGCTGTCCCCTCCCCCAAGACACACGCACGCTGTTATATATGTGTGCTGGCCGCTCGTCTGACCCCGACACAAGCTAGGACATGTGCATGCTAACAATGAGTATTTTAGTAAAAAGAAGGCCGTTGATAGGTCGCATTAGAGATTTAGAGGATATAAATAAACAGTAGGCTAAGCAAATAATGATTTACGATGCAGGTACCATGTAGATGCCCATGGATGGTTTCCAGGAATAGATAAGGTTTACTGTTGGGGAAAAATGAGCGGGGGCTGTTAATCCTGTAAGTGACTTAGTTGAATCCGAGCTTGCTCATTTATGTTTGTTGCACCCAGTTATTTTTATTGATTTTGTGAATAGATAAAACAGGGAATCCAACTCTTTTACATTGTAGTTGAATCAGAGTATTAGTTGAATATGTGTTCCACTGTTGTTTTGTCATGATCACATCAAAGCTGTTACCTACTAAAATTCTCATCCCTGTTCTGTCCACATGACACTTTTGTGGGATACCTGCTCAGTCTGTGCATGTTTGGAAATGTCATCGTTGGGCCTGTTTGTAGGCTATTACTACATGTAGATCTAGGCCTACTTAATTTTGTGAATAAAAACGAAGAATTTTGTACACATGATGTATGATCTTAACTTCTTGCCAAAATGTACTTTTTGAGTAATTTTTGTCAGAACTTGTGAGGATGAGTTGAATACATCAAATAGGCTATCTCAACTATACTATCTGTAAGCATTGTTATGTTCAGGTTGTTAGGGTAAAAAGAAGCACATTGACAGTTACAGCCATTATTGCTGGTGAAGAAGAAAGGTATGACGGATAGAGAAAGAAAAGGAGCAGGATTTGTCACTTGTGCCTTCTAACCCGGACCACCAGCAATGAACTTTTAAAGCTGCTGGTCAGGGAATGGGGTGACCTTGTTTTAGTCAGTTTTACGGCACTTGCGACACAATTACGTCATACAAGTACTGAAGATTAGATGTGTTACAAGAGAAACATACAAAGAAAAAAAGAAAGAGAGATACGGACAAAGGAAAAGGTCCAAAGCACCCGCCAACCACCCATGGATGACCTTGAAAAAAATCAATCTAAGAGAGATGGACAAAAGCAATAACTAGAACAATTGCTTTCTTCATTAGGGAGATATGATGTATCCCCCATATAAGCATAGTGTATAAAAGCTAAGACAGAGGCCAGTGTGAATGTGAGTAAGCTGCTTTGATAACAGGGTAATCTTTTAACAACTAATAGAAGATTAGGAAACACTTAAGGTCTCAGAATTTTAGCAGAAACTGAGGTAAAAAAAAAAAGGACATAAACATGCTTCTTGCAGGTCCATGTCAGGGGTATCTTGTAAATGTTATATTCTATTCCTTTACTGTCATTTAGGGAGAGGGCAACTTCAGCCTTACTTGTCAGGGACAACCTCTGCTGAGTGGGTTGCTGCACCCTTACACGCAGAGGTGAATGTGAATGATAAAATAACTTCTGTTCATATAGGAGAATTAATTCTACTTCTTTTTTTTTTGCTTTAAAAAAAAAAAAGTAAAGAGAAGCACATAAACACAATAACGATCATATATAGTGCAGGGAAGAAGCAAGACGGACAAACAGAAACTACTAAAGGAAAGAAAAGAAGTAGGACCTACCAGTGGCACCCTCCAACCACCAGCCCTCTTCTGTGTGCAAAGGCAAAGACCTAAGCATTACACAAGACGCAGTCATCAGACAGGCAGAACTCATCAAAAAGCCCATGCAGTTTAAAATTCATACCACGGACCAGGTCTGTGGCAGATCTAGTGTATAACAGTTACGGTGAAAAACGGACTTCTCAGTAGAATGCAGAAAAAGTGAGTTCAGTTCAATTTCTGTACGGAGAAGTAATTATATCGAGTATCTCTGTCTGTCTGCTGGGATGTTGTGTCCCAGTCAGCCTGGCTTGACAGTGACTTGACGTCGATAGACAGCAGCAAAGAAGCCCATCGGGGCACTTTCTAACTTGTATCGACTGGGGCGAATAACATTTGAACATTTTGAAAAAAGAAACTGACAATCGGTATCATACTATTACTATCATGACAATTTTGTTGTCCTCTCTTTCACGCGAGATCAGCATCTATTGTGTAGCTGTTTGGTGTTTCGCTTTCACATGCAGGAGACCACAGTTCGATTCCCAATTGGGGAGAATTTTTATCAAACATCTCTGTCTTTCTGCTGGGATGTTGTATCCCTCTCAGGCCAGGTTGGCCTTGACAGGCGGGTCGGAAACATGCCTCCAAAATGATCTAAATTGTGTTGATGGGGGCATAAAAGAACATCTATATATTTCAAAGAATTTAAAAACATTTTATGTGAAGTCAAGTTTAAAAAAAAAGGCTAATTCAAAATTGTATACAAATGATAAAATACAAGACAAAAGACATATTATTAAAATATTATGAAATAAAAAAGAACACTTGTAAGTTTATCAGCATATGTATTCCATCAGTAATTAATCATGGCATACTTTCACATATCACCAACTTTTCAGCCTTCCATGTGACAATATAAAACACCACAGCAAGTAAGAAAGACTGTCATAAGAGAGCAACTTGCTTACTTGCTAAGCAAACACACAAGACAACAATGCTACAAATATATGGTAACCTTTTAATCCTGTCGTTATCTGTTCTTTAACTTCAGTGTGAAGCACAGTAGGGCTTACCTATGTACCAGTACCTATCAATATCACTGGTCTGAGTACCAGAAAATGTCAGTCCTGAGAATTCACTAAGGTAACTTTCCCAGGATCCAAAGGCAAGACTCCAATAACAGCTACACTGAAAAGTGAATATTCCGTAACACTACTGGTAAAAGAATCAAGAACATTATAGGTCTGGTAAATCTAGCATCATACCTCTTGGAGATCTTCCACACACAACCTGTCCCTACAATGTCAAAAGAAAGCGTCCACATGCGCACACATTCGAACAAGTAATTTTTCATGTAATAAATGTACAGTTAGCCTAAACGCTGCCACTGGTTACTCTTCATCATCAGGAGGTATTCCAAGCTCTTCGTCTGTGAACTTTGACGGGTCAGGATAAACATGGTCTGGCTGTGAATAGATAATACGAGTACCAGTACATGAGAAAAGAAATACAATTAAGTTTGTAAAGGCTTTATCCACAATGTAGGCTACCCTTTGCAAAAAGAAGACTTTTATCAATGTGAGCAGTTTAGGGTGTACCTAAGTGAGTGCAAATTGCACAAAAATAGGAGACAATGGATGGAGGGCAAAGGGCAGCAGCACAGGCCTTGGAGGAGTGAAACTGATGCTTCAACTTCAAGTAAAATTATCATTATTGTTTATAGAATTAAGGAAATTTACTTAAAACAGGATAAGGAAAGGAACACAAATTTATCTTAATGTGTTGAAAACTTAACCTGGAACTCCCCCCATGTGGAGGCATCCACTTTTGACTCATCCTTCCCACTATGATAATACCACTTTGTCACAATTTCGTCACACTATATTGATTTTCTCACTTTAAAAAAAGACTTGATGAGGGCTTCCAGAAGTTTGTTACTCTACCATTCAAAGTCAAAGTCGAAGTGGTCACTATAATATGATCCGTACTTCCTGACAAATACATCACTTCATTCCACTGACATGGGACCCCACTAATTCAGACTCCCACTCTCAGAAAGCTCAATACAGTTTATTGCAAAGGTTAGAAAAATATACACATCGGAGTCTAACACCAAAATCAGCCGGATTTTCTTTAATTTAGAGAGATTGCTAAACACATAGCCATGATAATTGAGTGTAGAGTTGGGAATGCTATGCTTTTATAGGAAATTTTGCTTTTTGCAAGTATTTACTCATTTGCCTCTTTCAGTAACTGCAATTTGAGCTGCAGGCTATATATATATAAAT